TATTCTACCATGCTTTCCAACAAAGAGCCGCTGTTTTGCCGCTGTATATTACTTCTTCCTTAAATTTCTTCAATCTCCATCGTTTAGTTTTCGTTTCTTCGACAACATCTCGAGTTTTATACAGTATCCGATCGAAGGAGTTTTTATTTTGAATATCAAATTTCAAATAATGTAAACAGTCGCTATCGCGGCCGTGATTGGCTGGCTGTTACCGGAAATATCTGCTTCCCCCCCTGTAAATCCAACGGTAAAGGAGGCCTGGTTGCGCAGACGTTCGCCGTAGTAATTTTCGGCCTGGGCAAGTTCAATATAAAATGGGTTTTGATTTCCATTGTTAAAATATGGTCCAAAACTTGTACATCTCGCCGAAGTACCTCCGTATTTTCGAAGAACGGCATTTGTTGTACATGCTGGCGAATTTGTTTGGAGAATAAAGCGATTTGAGTGTGAGAATTTTCGATTCGAAGTGCCGTGCGGTCGTATCGACGATCGGGAATGGTTAGCCTTTATCATGTTTCATGTATACTAGTAACATCGAGTACAAGGTCTCGGAAAATATTAGTACAACAAAGGAGGAATACAAGGAGAACACACACTATCAAATAGGCAAGTCAATTTCATTTTAAAATTTATATTTTATGACATATTTTTACTATAATATACAATTAATATAATATAAATTTATACTGTATAAAGTCTATACTGACCCTTGCGAGATTGGGCCGCCTGTGCTTTAATTGCTTTCAACAACTTTAAACATTCAACAAATGATCCTCTTGATTTTTTAATCCATAAATTTCGATCCAAAAAAGCCGCAATAAAATGCAAAAGTTCGTGTTTTCCAGGACGCCATCTTCCTAGCAAGTGTCATGGCGTGAGCATGACGTGTACATCTAGGGAAATTTTAGAACACGAAATCCTATTAAGTTACACATCTGGTATATACTTCATCTGTGATATCGTCATATTGCGTATATTGCAATTTTATGAAGATCTGTTTAGAGGGTATATGACAAATTGAGATCATGACTCTTAAAGTTTTTTTCCATATATATTTTCATTTTTGAGATATTTAGTTCGTTTGGTATGTAAATAACACAACATTTTACGTCATATTGCATAATGAGTTTGTGAAGGTCCAACAAAGCCTTGGTCAAACGAGGATGAGAGTTGATGAGGGTTTGCAGTCGCGAATTGGGACATTTTAAGCTGTAAACTAACAAAGTAAATGATTGATGAGTCTTCCAACTATGTTTTGACTTAGTTATGCTTACCCATAAGGCCGGTAAGGCACGCCAAAATATTAATATCTGACCCACGAGGGGCGCTGGAAACAACTAACGTTAAGCAGCGAGGAAGCCATTTAAAAAGGCACTTCTGAGCCCTAGTTTTTGTGGGTAGCAATCTTCGTTCAAATTTTGCTGTTCGGATACTCGATTATTTGTAGCTAATAGTTTGACAAATTTCGGCATTGATTGGAACATTATTCGTTGCATGACGCTAAATACTAAAATGCAGTGTATAAAAAAAACATGACAGCTTGTCAACTACATTTAGGACGCCTTTTTTTTGTGACGATTTTTTCATATAATTGGAAACCTTGGTAACGTTGTTGAGAGGAACTTCAGATTCAAGACAGTTCTCAGTATCAATTCATATGAATAACCCAAGACTTTCGAAGTGCAGTCAATATGCTGCCTAAAGGCAATATGCTGCCTCCGCACCGTTTGGGCAAAACGGGTGCAGCTGCCCCCGTGGTCCCAGTGCCCCTGAAATCATCCTCTCTCTGACAAAACGTTCCCAAAAATAGGAAAGTTTACGTGTCGATTAATTTTTTTGGATCTCTTGAAAAAGATGACTCATGATTTTCACTACTTTGAAATTGCGAATCACACAACCTTTGAGGTCACATTGCAAAATGAGCTATAATATTGGTAACATTGGTGATTAAGTCTGTAGTCTTGCATGACGATAATACAGGGTGTCCAAAAAAAAGAAAACTATTGAAATAAATGTATTGTTAGAATTTGAATGCCTCAGCACTCTGCTGAACCCACACGTGCATCAAAGCTTGACGTAAGTAAATTTTATGCATAAAGAAACCGTTTAAGAAGCTGTTTTAAATTCCCAAGAGCAGAAAATCGTGCGCTTTACAAAGATATTTTAATTTCTTAATAAGTCAATATTTAATATATGCACCCTTGTCAATATTTTACGCATCTTTGCGTTCAGCTTCGTGCTAGGGCATTCAAATTTTAACAATACGTTATTTCAATGGTTTTGCGGGGTTTTTTGGGACACCCTGTGTAGTATAACTTTTGGTTTGTGGAAACATCACGTATAAAAAAACGCCGTACGCACTGGTTGATCAATTCCATCTCTTCTTCCCAATAGGGTTGTATTCAATCTCTTTTTCCCAATAGATTCGACAAATTTACTCAAGGCATATCAGAGAAATTTGGGAGCCTGGGGCAAATTTTTATTTCGGGATTCTTATTTTTTCCCAAAATCCGGGGGGGGGGGTAAAATATTTTTCCTGACATTAAAAAAAGGGTCAAAAAATTTTTCCGGACAAACACCAGTTAAATTAAGGTAGGTTCAAAAAAAATTTTCCGCACAAATTTCTGTTAAAACATGGGTAAGACCAATTTTTTCGGACCAATATCTGTAAAATTTAGGTCTAGAAATATTTTTCTCACACTATTATTTATATCAAAAAAGTTCCAAATTATTTTTTCTTCTAATTTTGAAAATTTAAACTGGGGGCCAGGGGCAAATTGCCCCCTATTTTTACTTATAAACAAGCATCTACATTAGTCGTTACTTTTTATCTAGAATGTACCGACCCGCAGCCTTTAGGTATTGAAAATGGACAAATTCTTGACAGTCAACTATATGCTTCAGCATTGACTGGAACTAACGATGGAACTCACATTGGTCGATTAAATATGTTGAGTGGAGGTTAGTAACAGATTGCGAAATTTTCATTAGTTTAAGCATGCAACCTCTTTGACAACGCGAATATTACGTGTATAACGGTTTATACTGGAACTTGCATTAAAAGAATCAGCGAAGTTCTTTGTAAGCTAAATGGGGTGGACCATTAGATATCCTGGAAAAATTGGTGGGGAAATTTTTCCTGCAAGAATTTTCCTTTTGAGTTCGAAGCTTTGTCGGAATTTTTTTTTGGAGTAGAAGCTGTGTAAGAATTTTTTTTTGAAAGGCTTTACCTACCTTTTTTTCTCTCTACTGATAGAGAAAAAAATGGCGGCAATGTAGCCAAGCAACTATATTGGCACAAAATTTCCCTATTGAGCAATCATATGAAAGTTTAATATATTACAAAAAATATCTATCATAGTGACATAGAAGGTGTCAGTTTCATGGGTGTCAGGCATAAATACAAGAAATACTTTCTTGTGTGAAAATTAGTTAATTCCAGAACAGTGAAAGTATTTTTTCATTCAATCTCATATTTAAAAAAAAACTTCTGGTGCACCCCCCTATTACAGTATTAGTTTGTCCCCGAGCCAACGGCGCGGAGCGCCGTTCCGGGCGTTAGCCCGGGGCGAGGGTACTAATTCCGACCGGCTATTTACACCTGGAGAAAGGAAAGCATTAGCGAAGTCTAAAGTTCATCAATGATCGCGTGACTATGGTTCATGGGTGGACCTCCTCACTGATCTAAAAAATATGGCTGTTTGCTAGGAGTAGGATAAGCAAGATTTCAATTTTCAAGAGCATGTATTTGGAAAATCACGTTTCACACAATGAGCTTTGAAGCAATTTTCGTTTGAAGAAATGAGAAGAATTGATTTACAATGGGAATCGTGAAATATAGTGCAAGTTTGCTTTGAATGTTTAATGTTTATGAATTTTGTTGCTTTTAGGAAGCATTCATTTTAGCTGGGGGTGGGGTGGGGGGGCGGAGGAACTGATGTCTAATTCCATGCTTAATCTTGGAACCCCCGAGAGAAAAGTTGATAAAAAATTATGACCCCCTATTTTTTTACTGAAAATTGGGGGGCTGAAAGCGAGGGCCGAAGGCCCGAGGAAATTTTTGAATCTAGATTCTAGAGTCTCTGAAATGCCATTTCCTGGACTTTGGGGAAGATTTGACAGAATTCTGATGGTCAGAAAACAGCGTTTTAGTATGACGAAATTTACAATTTGGTAGTACTAATTGGGCGAAGGCGTATTTAATTAACTATATATTGGATAACTATGATAAGTTGCAGGAAACTGTGGGTAATATCTTCATTCTTTGCAGTTTGTCATGGATAATGTAGCCGCTTAAAATGAATAAAGCTTAAAATTGATAAAGGTCTGCATGATTTTGAAAAAAGAATGATTATTAGCAAATTATTAGGGGGGGAGGCTGCAGCCCCCCAGCCCCCTTCCCCCCTCGTTGCTACGGTCCTGCGTTTTCTTTCATTCATGTTTTCACACAAAAATGGATAAAAACGAGGTCAATTAGCCTTTCTCACGATGACGAATATCCGCCATTTTTGGGTGGCATCCAATTCTCATTAACCAATGCAGACAATTAAAACAATGTGAAAAGCAATTTTTCACAATAAACTAACCATTTACAAAGCAAACTAACCATAATTTGTCTAAAAAATTATAAAAAGTCGCTGTTATGTGAACTTATTTCGCAGACCTCGGCTGAAATGCCACCCAAAAATGGCGGCGTGAGAAAGGCTAATTGACGAACGTCATGGAAATGTTTTCCTATGGTACTTAATTGTACTACAATTAAGTATCCAATCATAAGAATTCAAGTACTCTTGGCCCAACACGATCAGGTGCATGCATAATAAAAAACGTGTTTGTGGTAATATTACATTTGGGACACTAATTCGTACTTCTACCCTTCATCAGAAATTGAATAAATTTTATTCAGGATCTGTTTTCTCCAAACAAGATCCTGTTTTGAATTTTTTCACAAAAAATCTTACCGAGTCAACTGACTCGGTTCAAGTCGATCGGTTGACTCATAGCCGCGATACGGGCCTGATATGCTCTACATAAACTCAGTTTCAATCTATAATGTTATTGATTTTATAAATGTTTTACAGCATGTACACACTGTACGTACGTCAAGTATATGTATCACATATTCTGCATGTAAGGTTATAAATATCTCAAAATGAGCCATATTAGCTATTTAAAAACTACCCGCGCTCAATAACTTTCACTTGGATTTCTCATGAAGTTTCACGAATCTTTTTTCTTTCCCCAAGTGCTTGCAGGATTTTTTTTCTAATACAACTTCTTGCATGACTTTTTTATCTGCCACCCCCCAGGATAACTAATGTTCCACCCCTAAGTTTGCATGGTCATGATAATATAATATTTAACAAATATAAAACACTTTCTAATCAACATGAGTGGAAATTTATCAATGATATTTTTTCGAGAATCGATCGAGAGCGCTTTCCATTTTCATACGTCCTTCCACTTTTGCTAAATTTAAGCATATTTTATATTGTATCTTGTGCGACACATCCGAGGTTTTCAAACTTTCCAGTGGCAGTGATTGTATTTTTAATTTTTTTTCTGTAAATATAATTGTTAATTTAAATTACGGTACGTTGTAAATAATCCCGAATTTTGATTAGTTAAAGTTTTAACTTAGCAACAATTAAGTTTGCCCATATATAGTAACGTTAACTTTCATCCAATAAATATCAAGTTTGAAACAATGAACAAATGTTTAATTTATGCATGCCGCACGGTCAATTAGCTATTTCCCAATTGAGCAGAGGACTGGGTCTAGTCGCTTGTTTAGAGGGACAAAAAATAAAGTTTGGTTTGAATATTTTGACACCAATATTTTGGTCAGAATATATTCACGCCAAAAGTGTAGTTTGAATATTTTGACACCAAAATTTGGCCTGAATGTATATTCACGCCATAGTTTGGTCTGAATAAATTATATTCAAACTAAAAGTGTAGTTTGAATATATTCACGCCAAAGTTTGGTTTGAATATTTTGACGCCAATAGTTTGGTCCGTAATATATTCACGCCCATAGTTTTGTTTGAATATATTCATGTGACGCCAAAAGTTTGGTCTGAATCTATTCACGCCAAAAGTTTGCTTTGAATATTTAACACCAATAGTTTGGTCAGAATTTATTCACGGCAAAAGTGCAACTTCGTACCCAGGGCTTTTGTGCTTATTGCTCGTCAGAAGCCCTGGGTACGTGGTTGCTAAAAATGTAGTTTGAATATTTTGACACCAATAGTTTGGTCAGAATATATTCACGCCAAAAGTGAATGTGGTTTGAAGATTTTGACACCATAGTTAGTCTGAATATATTAGCGCCTACAGTTTGGTCTGAATATATTCACGTCACAAGTTCGGCATGAATTTATCCACGCCGAAATTTGGTTTGAATATTTTCATGCCAAATTTTGGTTTGAATATTTATTCACGCCAGTAGCTTGACTAATTTGAATAATTCACGCCAACAATTTGGATAGACACAATTTGGATAGAATGTATTTGAATATTTTTTTAATCCAACAGTTCGATTTAAACATTCATGTTAGCAGTTTAGAGTTAACTTTTTTGGTTTGTATAGCTGTGTGTTTCGCTATAGTTATAACGTTCTGTCAATTGCTTCATTTCTTTTATCAATTGAAATTGTTTGACGCATTAAGCCTGTCATTTTTGTAGCTAGACCAAATGTAAAATTTAACTCGTTTTCAACATAACATGGTTTGTCTTTTTCTGTTTAGAAATACTATTCACTACCAGATAAATTCGATAAATTTATTACGTTAATTATTAGATATGTTTTTTTGGCAACATTTGCGCATTACGAGTTTGGAGTTTAAGGGATATCAAGGATTTTAAAATTATTTTTCTAAAAACCCTTATAGAAAATCCCTGTTTATAACATTTTCAAGGTTTGTACTCCTTTATAATTTTAAAAAATCTTGGGTTTTTCAGGACTTTTTTTATCCTTTTCCCAGGGGTTATTCTGGGGCATTTGAAATTTATACGAAACAATTTCCCTAAGAAGTTGACAGGTTTTTGAGTGTTTAATGCCGTACTTAAGATTTTAAATGACATTTAATTAATGATTTTCCCATGTGTCCCAAGACAAAAACTCTTTTTATTGCACCCTGTTTAGAAAACATCAAACAAAGCTAAAGTGGCTCAGTTTTTCAGGGTTTTCCAGGGATAAATTTGAAAGTCCAGGGTTTTTCGAATTCAGGACTAAAATAAAGGTTTTCCAGGATTTCCAGGGGATGTACAAATTCTGATTTGGTGGTTATATTTGTCACACATGCGTTTTCTAATTTTTTCGTCGAAATATGCGTAGATAACAATAAATTGTTAATCCCATGCATTGCGCTTTGTTCTGTCCAAGTTGCTTTGATTTAAGAACAACTTTTTGCAGTTTTGTTTTTTTAATCATTAGTCATTTGTCATGCGAAGTTGCCTTAAAATTCCTGCAATTTCTTTAGTTCCTGCAATTCCTGGTCCTATTGTTCCTGGGTCTCCAAACGCCCGTAAATTTAACTATAATTGTAGGCCTAACTGCTGTGAGATGTAGTCACTGCGTGTCTTCTGATTGGCCAATAGCTTACAGCTAAATATGAAAATCACGCAAGCTATACAGATAACCGTGTCATATATGCTATTATATAATAACCTTTAGAATTCATGCGATTTTATTGGTCGAGAGCCAAGCATGATCTATTACAGGACAGACGCACAGAATACGTGATTAGTTTTTAAAATGTCGAAAATATTTGAAAATTCCACTGAATTTATACAAATTGAATGAATTCATGCAATTAAATCTATAAACATCAATAAATACTTTCGATAAATTTGCAAAAACGATGTGACGAACTGAACTTTAACCTGAATAGCTGAGTAATAAACTGACTGGACTACACTAGTCTAATGGTAACTATCGTCGTCACTTTAGGTACACGGTTCACTGCGGGACCAGATGGCGAAATGTGGTTTGAGGTTGATTTTATCAAGTCGACAAAGATCATTGGGATAAAAATACAAGGGGCTGCAGGTGTATTCGACGTTATTCAAACTTTCACAGTGGCCTATAGCAGCGATAGAAATAATTTTATGCACTACAAAGAATATGACCAAATCAAGGTTAGATGTATTTTATTTTATTGATAAAGGTATATATATATTTATATATTTTGACCCAGTCCTCGACTTGAACTCTAGTCCAGTCCTTATAGTCGGAGTTGAAATATATTAGAGTAAAAAATATATATGAAAGTATAAACGATGGTATCAAAGAAGGACGCGAACTTTCGCCCATTCGGGCTTCTTCAAAATCATACATATGCTGATGAATAAATAAATATATGAATGACAAATAGTCTCGTTAAAATATTTTAAAAATTCAAGTTAGTTTTTAACACTGACGAAGCCCGAATGGGCGAAACGTTTGTAAAATAAAAACTTATACATTGATCTGCCTGGAGTTCGCGTCCTTCTTTGTGAGCATGTGACTCATAAGTTACAGTCTCATACCTATGGATTAAGTTCCACCGTCGAAAACAAAAAATGGAATTAGAAGTGTTAAAAGTTTGATAGAAGAAAATGCTAATATTGCTCATATACAAGAGGTTCATGAGGGAAACTCGAAGTGAATGAAGCGCGTTTTTCTGAGTATTTTGATGAAGAATGCTGAATGATGATGAATGCTGAAGAGAAGAAACTTGTATGAGGAAAGTAAAGCGATAAATACGATACTATAATGGCTTTGAATTTTATTATGCTATAGTGTACTACTTTATTATCCAGGGCGAGGGGTTTAAAAAATAATTGTACTTCTCTCAACCAATCAGAATTCAGCAATTTTTTCATGTAAATGACAAGCTGATCAATTTTTCAAATCAAGATCAGTATAAGTAATCGCATGGGGCCGAGTAAAATTAAGGTTTAATTTCACGCTGTTTTCAAAGCTTCACAAATTTATTCGTAAGTTAATTGTGAACTTGTCAAGTTCTTGAACCTCGTATGTCTCCATGTCTTCGCCGATGTTCCTTAATGCTGCCCATTTCTTAAATAGTGCAACCCATAAATTGTACTTTTTCTAGTATTCGAGTTTTCGCTAGAAGTTTGTAATTCTTCAATAACATTATTATCCGCAACGACAAAGCGAGAAGCTGTTGTTTTTATTGCTATTTAAAACAATAAACTTCCCGCGCTTGCGTCTCAGCCAATTAGGTACAAGTGATGTTGCCCTGAATTAAGAAAAACTGCCCTCATCATTAGCCAATCATATTGAGCAATTTTGTCCTCTATATGATTACAAATGAAATGCAGCCTTGGTTTTCAGCTCAATTCGCCAATTGTTGCCATGTTTGTGTTTAATTAGTTTACACTATTTCCCGCACAAAATGGTGAGTCGAACAAAACACTACATTATGTGTTGTGACGTCACATGCAATGGCTGTATAGGAAACATAGTGTAGTTGGTCTTGAGAGAAGAGAAACGTCCTGAAGGTAAAAATTGAAGGTAAAGAGGACAAAGAAACTACCAAATAAGGATGTTAGAAGAGAAATGAAACTACAGATCCGAAATCTTAAGTCATTGTGTGCGTGCGTTATATAGCTTCTGTCATCAGGACATCGGAGAGGTAGGAGTATTACGAAGAAAACAAACTTTCCAAGGGCTTGTCTATAACTTGAAAATCTTTTCCAAGAAGTCTTGTCAGGATCATTTAAAGCTTTGTTTTCTAAATAAAGGGACGAACAGAAATATACAAATTAACTCTGGACAAACGGCTCCAGTTTATAATCAGACAAGGCCCAATTAATTATAGTGATATCCATGTATACATGATAAACATTAAATATTTTTTTATTAAATTTGCAGATATTTACAGGCAACACCGAAATAGATACGGTTGTGGAACAACGTCTATCACGTATTATTTTTGCTCGGTTTTTGCGCATCATTCCTGACATATGGTTCGGCGATGATCCTGCAATACGGATAGAGATTACTGGCTCGTATTTAGGTGAGCATTTTGATTATGATATCATCAATATGCAATGGAATTGATAGTACACTGTATATAAACAAGTGAAAAGAATTTTAAGATTCAAGAATGCACGTACACGTATTATTGAAAGCAACGGTTCACTGTACGTTTTTATAGGCCTAATTAAACCCCAGTTTTTATACCCTTTTGTTATAAAAACCCCAGTTTTTATACCCATTCCGCAATGACGAATTATATGTACTGTATAGTGAGAAACCTTTGAGCTAGAATGGTTTTTCGTTTCGAGCTATGCTTTTAGGGAAGCAATGATTTTAGGCTGACAATTTTGAAGGATATACGATTCGATGATCAGCATCCCTCGATCAGCAACATGAACTGAATTATCATTTTTTCATTGACCAAACTGACACCAGGACAAACTGATATTTTTTTGCTTGCAAGCAAATTTTTTACGTTCAAAATTCGCACGTCTAAGGGCCTGTTCATATGGGCAAAAGTTATCCCGGTTAACGGGAAAACTTTTCGACTAGCTAAATATTTTTGTTCTGTTCATAATATGGAGAAACGTTATCCCGCTTACCGGGTAAAGTTTCCGTCTGTGACGTAACATTGAACATCAATTGAATTGAAAAGTTGCTGACACGACAGAAAGTTATCCCGCTAAGCGGGAAAGTTGTGTTCATATGGGAAAAACATTATCCCGGTCACCGAGATCTCGCCTGTCAACAAGCGAGATCTCGGTACACGGGAAAACCTTTTGTCTCATATGAACGCAGTGTAACTTTTCATATTATTTTTCATATACCAAGGCGAGATCTCGCTTGTAAACTTGTCGAAAAAATTTCTAGCTAACCGGGATAACGTTTGCCCATATCAACAGGCCCTAACTTTCGATGTTTTTTGCCTGATTCTTTTTTTTAAATAAAAACATGGAAATGTACCTGTACAAATTAAAAATGATGCACGCATGCGCACGTTATTGATACCTGCACTGCGCCTGAACTTTAAATTACTATTAGCCCCCGCAATTGACTACATCTACATGATTAACTTTCTTTCGCCTACTGTAGATACAGATTGGTTTCAACCATTTGCTCTGGGTATTGAGGACAATCTGATCCTTGATTCTCAAATGGCTGTTTCATCGTATTACTCCACATCTGGAGCGGGGAATGCTAGATTGAACTTAAAAACACTACGTGAAAATGTAGACACGAATACCACAGTTATAGTCAGATATGGTGGTTGGATAGCAGCAGAAGACGACAATGATCCTTGGTTTCAAGTTGATTTCGTAGCGAATGCAACAATCAGTTCGATATTTACTCAAGGCTTGGAGAATGGAACTTCCTGGATCACCAAATATTCCATTGCTTTTGGATATAATAGAGACAGGTTGCAAAATTACAGTATAAATGGACAAGTGAAGGTAATGATTATTGTAGGTTTGTTAAAGCGTTTGAATCCTATATCAATAGAATACACTAGGATACTGGAGTGTATATATCGGGCCAAAACAATGTACGAGATTTTAGGGAATATAGGAAAACTGTAGGGTTTTATTAGGTATTTTCGAAATTTTTTTCGGGATTTGTTTTGGGGGGTTTTGCAGAGATTTTTAGAGATCTAATGGGGATCTTTTAAGGGATTTTCGCGGAAGATGTGAAACCTCGTTTGAACTATAAATTGAAGCCAGAAATTATATGACGGATTTTAGAAACCTGTTTTAGCCCCCGTAATGTTTAACTGTGCTTGATGGCAGTACATTGTTAAAAGTATAGTGTGGTTATTTGAACAATTTTGGAAAAATTGTACTGTTCAGTCGTAATATACACCATAATTACTCCTGGGTTTTTTTCAGTCTTGTACAGTTTGAATGCGTTAATGCTTTTGTAAGTAATATATAACAAATGAGCCCAGCTCTTTCCCACATATTTTGAAGTGTTTTATACGCTGGTAATAAACAGCTTTCGAGTTTGTTATATTACTTCTCAAACGGACTTGTACAAGAGAATATCAAGGCGATGGTTGAATTAATTTATCGGCGTTTATTACCGTGGTATCAAGACAAAGATACGCTGCTCGTTTCCTTTGTGCCTTACTCATGAATTATTTTAAAATGAATATGAGAATTTACTTGAAAAACACATCATTACCTATTCCAGATATGCCACCAAATTTCATCGTCAATAGTATATGAGCCCTTTAGCAGTTGTTAATTTTATGCAAAACTTAATTTTTTTTGCAATTTAGTGTCCATTATTTATAAGTAATCGTATAAACATATTTTTACAACAGATATTTTCAGCGAACTATAACCTCAGTTCAATGGTAAAAAATAATGTTTACCCACACATTATGGCTCGTATCCTTCGAATCATGCCAAAAGAATGGATTGGATATTGTGCTTTGAGGGTGGAATTTTATGGTCAATACGAAGGTGAGAGACTGAGCACTATTATTATAGTATGTGTCAATTAAGGTTCATGAAATTTGACTATCTCTTGCATGGTAACAGTTATGCATGAACTGTGAATAGTATGTTATCGACCATGTAGTGAATAATAAAATCGTTCAGTTATGGCGCAAACATTATAGAGCTTTGTCGTCATTTTTGTTTCTTTGACACTTGATATATAATCGGCTTCCCCTAGGGAAAATCAGCGGTCTAGGGTCCACAAAACGTGCTGTTTTTCTCGGTCCCAGTCAATAAGTATTAATTGTTTTCTTGCATGTTAATTATAGGCTGCATTTAGTACGTTGCCGATGGCACTCTTTTCATGCCATCATTGCTACGATATATTTATCACCACAGCAGGCGATTCACCGCAGCAACACACACAATTTGTGAACTAATATTATTTTAGTGAACTTACTCGATTCTGATTGGTTAAAAACCGTGCCGATTAAACATTAATCGGCACAGTGTGCCGATTAAAGATTATATATCGTCACAAATACGAGCCCGCGTGCATTAAACACAACTTGAAAATTTGTATTTTCTGAGCTCTTATTTTGCAATTAGCTCTTTAAGTATATGTGAAGAATAAATAAAGATTTTTCACAGTTTTTTACAGGTATATGAATTAAAAATTAATGTCAGAGATTACTCTCAAAATTGACAAAGGCGCATGTGGCTGCATGTGCTCCCTTGACTACATTTTTAAAATATAATGTTTCTTATCATTGATTGCTTGTGTAAAATATTATAAAATGATATTAATAGGAAATTACACTATACGTTCTCCAAGTATTAATGAAAAATCACACCCGTGTTTGGCGAAATATTTATAATATCGCTCGTGCTACCCACTCACGGTATTTATGAATATTTCGCCAAACACATGCACGTGCGATTTTTCATTAATACTTCTCGAACCGTGAAACTTTTTACGAATATTGCTTATCTAATCGATACAAATCAAGTACTCTTTGTTTTTCAACAAATATATCTAATCAAAAATATAATTGGTAAGTCTTCCATTTGAAGAAACTGTAGTTTCCATTAGGTTTACAACATGTAGGCCGTTTGCTGCCTCCCGATATCGTTCACTTTCATTTCCCATGTCTTGAAACTGAAATATTTTTACAGGAACTAACATGCACTTTCGAACACGCTGAGTTCAAATCCGAAAAGTTTCCGCTCCGCGTAGACCTGCAGTTTTCTCACAAACTGCAATTTTATCTCCACTAATTTAACGACAACCTTTTTCATTGTTCAACGACACGGATCGATGACGACACACGATTATATCACTCAAAAGGACCTATTGCTATTAACCATGCAGTCTTCCTTTTAACAAAAGACCGGTTTTGCTCGAATCATTTTGAATTATGTAATAGTATGCGTAAACTTACGAGGAAGTGGAGAAATGTGTGCATGAGCTGTTTATTTGGTGATTTCAACGTATATGAAAGCCCTCTTTCCAATAATACTCGCTAATCGCACAGAATAACACCAACTGATATAATAGTTCAGATGCAATGATAAGTTACCTCTTGAATTACGTCTCAAAAACTGTGTTGGAAATTTAAATGCTGACCCATTACATCACATTACCGTTTTATATCAGTGTATAAAATATTTTGATCGCACGTAAGGAATTATTTCTCAGCCCATGCAGAGACATAGCCAAAAGACTTAGCATTAACGTACTTAACAGAAATTGGTCCTTTTGAGTGACATAATCGTTTGTTGTCATCGATCCGTGTCGTTGAACAATGAAAAAAGTTGTCGTGAAATTAGTGAAGATAAAATAGCAGTTCGTGAGAAAACTGCAGGTCTACGGAGAGGGAACTTTTCGAATTTGAACTCAGCGTGTTCGAAAGTGTTAATTCCCGTAAAAATATTTCAGTTCCAAGACAGGCGTTTTCTAGGCACTTTTCGAGGTCACAGCAAACGGCCAAATACATGCAGCTTTGTGTCTCAAATTTACTGTCGTTGTGTTTGAATTACGTCAAATGTACTTTTAAAAGATTACGTATACATATCCAAGTGAGCCGCTTTAATGTTCTATACTTTCTAAATGCAGTTCTTTTCTTCTAGAGTGCACTGACCCGCAACCTCTTGGGCTTCAAAATGGCAATGTCTCAGATAGCCAACTCTCATCATCAACTAAGTATGATTCCCTAAATGGACCTCATAACGCCAGATTGAATTTAACAGCAGTACCAGATGTGCGGGCCGGAGGTTAGTTATTACAGCATATGATTGTTTTATTTGTAACACAAGTCGATACTATCGGACTTTAGAAGTTGATATGAGTGGATACAATTAATCCAACTCAAACGACTATAAATACTCTTGTTTTGATTTGTTGAAACTGAAATATGCCGACTAGTCGGCTGAAAAATTCTTATGTCGCGATCATATATCAGTGTAGTGCTGATGAGCAAGATGAAAGTAACTGCTATTACAGTTACCTTTGATGTCTCCCGATTGTGGGACATCAAAACCGTGCCAGACCGCTCAAACTGCAAGCAGTGAGCGTGCGCAATGCGTAAGCGGCATGGCTCATCCTGTAGAGCGCTCAATAGCCTCAATATGACCTAAAGGCCGTAGAGCGATATCTAACTACAACTACTACAGACGGTACCGTTTCGGCCTTAGGCCTCATCAGTGTAGTTCTGATGAGCAGGATGAAAGTAACTGCTATTTACAGTTACCTTTGATGCCTCACGATGATGATTACTTTGCTTCCGTATTTTCTAAAGAAATTACCCCCGAAGAACTTTTAAAGATAGCTAATGACCAAAATGATGCAATCAAATTTACACTGGAACTACCCAATAACAACCAATTGCCATTTCTCGACACATTAGTCACTTTTAACACGGATACCAAAACGTTTTCTACATGCCTGTATAGGAAACCCATACACAGTGGCTGTATTATACCCTGGGGCAGCCACGGCTCGATAGCATCAAAAAGAGCGATATTTATTGGCGAAATCAAGCGAGCCATCTATTGCTCTTCCAATCAACAAGCCCGAAGGAAATCGTTAAGCACAGTGACGGAATTGTTTTTAAACAATGGGTACCCCAGAGAAATGATAAGAACGACCATTCGAAATGCGTCACGTGTAACTACCACCACACGAAATGAAGACGACGAACAACAAAAAACTATTTACATTAAAATGCCCTTCATTAATGAAG